CACATATACGTATGAATAATTCATTTAATTTGAATTTATTAATTAATAAAACAGCGTTATTCATAAATACAAATATCTAAAAAAATATATTTTACAATTGATAATAATTAATATTTAATGTTTTAATTTAAATTTATTATTAGAAATCAACATGACTACATATAATTTTGAATCAATTAAAATTGGTTTCATTGGAGGTGGAAATATGGCAAGTGCCATTGGTGCTGGATTGATTAGGAAAGGTATATATTCTGTAATACTTTATAAATAATGGAAACAATTGTTTCTTTTTTCAGATAATTTATTATTATTCTCTTACAGGTATTTTTGATCCAAATAATGTTTGGGTATCTGCACGTACAAATAAAACTTTAGGCTTTTGGACCGAGTTAGGTGCGCATGCTACATTGAAAAATGGAGAAGTATATGACAATTGTGATGTCATATTTTTATCAGTAAAACCACAGATGCTTAATGACGCGCTCGATGGACTAAAAGCAACAATTAAGAAAGAGAAACATTCTCCACTTTTTGTCTCAGTACTTGTGGGCATTCCCTTAGATACTTTACATAATGTAAAAACTAAATCATGTTAATAATATTCATGAAACTTTGAAGAAAATATTCGTACAACTAAAAATGCTTTCAGAAACTCAAAGAGATCGTGAACTATCCTAAAAATTATCCTAGGATAATTAGATGCTTGCCAAATACTCCTATGATGGTTGGAGAAGGAATAACAGGTAAATAAATATTTTATAAATAGAATGATAACAATGATTGTATAACATTATTATCTTTCTTAGTATATTGTTCTTTGAACACAACAAAGGAAGATGAAGACATGATCAGAACATTATTTTCTTATATTGGTATAACTGAAAGTGTTCCTGAATCTGTTATGAATGCTATAGGTGGCCTTTCAGGTTCTGGTCCTGCTTATGTAAGTTGAATAAAAGTTTTATTATCTTTTTATATTTATTAAATATCTAAAATATACTTATAATTAACAATTCCCAGGCCTATCTTGTCATAGAAGGATTAGCAGATGGTGCTGTAAAAATGGGTGTTCCAAGACCTATGGCAACAAAATTTGCAGCTCAAGTGTTAGTTGGAGCTGGTAAAATGGTATTAGAAACAGGTAGACATCCAGGTCAATTGAAAGACGAAGTATGTTCTCCAGGAGGTACAACAATTACAGGTGTTCATGCTATGGAATGTGGTCAAGTTAGGTAAGTACAAGTAAAATTAACAATAATAAACCATACTTACTTGAATCACTATAACTTCTCTTAAATAAATTTATAGAGCATCAATGATGAATGCAGTTGAAGCTGCAGTAAATAAGTCAATCAAAATGTCTTCAGAAATGAAATAAAATTTAGTACAAAACATTTCAAAGAAATTAATGAAGCGGAGTAATATCAAAGTATCATTTTATTTACACTGCATTTGTTTAAGCATTTTCAATACAGTATAAAATAGTGTTCTTATTTTTAAGAATGCTCTATAAATTACCTCAAAGGTGTAGTACAAAGAAAAAATACGATATTATTTAAAAATACAATATTATTATTTACTTAGTAAAATGAGTTCCTTAATTTTATGTATATTATGATACAAATGTAAAAATAAACTAAATATTACATTCACGTTTTTTTATTAATGTTAAATATTTTACATTCCATAATATATATTTCTTTATATACTTCATGTCTTGGAATATTCTACGCAACGTGATGGATCTGTTGGATAATATTCTTGACATTTAGTCATCAACCTCTTTAAAGCTTGAATATACTTCCTTTGAGTTTCGTCATTCATTACGTGTGCCACATTTTTGGAGAAAATTTTTTCTCTTCCAGTACGTGCGTGAATACCTACCATAGTTACTCCTATAGGCCACGGAGAATTTCCTATAGCCATTTGTAAATATGCATCACTTGCCTATAATCAATTATTTTTTTTATTAATTCTGTTACACTAAAATTAGATATTATATTGATCTTTATATTTACCAATATGTAATTGCGTTCAAGTAAATGTTTTACAATATCAGTCAAACTATCAGTGATATCCTCTGGCAAGGATTTATTCCTTAATTTTCTAAGAAGTGGTTTTAAGTATTCCCTGGTTTGTGCATAAGTGGCACTAGCCATTTTTCCTCTAGTACTCATTTTCTCTGCTGTACTTCGACTGTTTAATTGAATACCCCACATTTGTACTAAAAATTGTATGAATTGTGTAATGACATTTAAATCAAAGTCCCTGTCGCCCTTATTTAGTTTAATAGACATTTTTTGTAAGTCTTCATAAGTAACTCCTTCATCTGGTACATTTACATCTCCTTTTCCATTGCGATCTTGGGGCTTTGAGGAAGCTAGTATTTCATTTAAATATGCCTGATCTACTTGTTCCATAGCTTCTTGGAAGTCATTTCGGAAACCCTGTAATTTTAAGTATATTATTATGTTTTCAAAAAATGATGCACAAAATAGTTATTATGCACAATTCAGAAAAACTTAAATGAGGAAAACATAAAAACTACTTTACGTATTTAACTGATAAATTTAATATAATCCAACATAAATGTAAATACTTTGTTCACTTCAGGTTCTAAAATTTCACATTTTCTTAATCTCTTGAAAGCTTCAATCTCTGACTCTCCAAATAATAATATCGGCTCGGCTCTTTCACGTAATCTTTTAATTACTTCATGCCTAGGTAAAGTTAAGTGTTCCGAACTACCATCCATTACACATTCTTCTTGCTGTTGAGTTGTATTCACTTTAATGTCCTCGTCATTATTGTTTTGCACTTCTTTTATTTCTGTATCTTTAGATATTAAGTCACTCCTTTTGAAATACTTTTTATTATTTTGCTGCAATATTGATGAAGTTGAACCAATTGAACAAAATATTCATATCCAGAAAATATAATGATATAAAATATTACCAAAACATTGCTTTCTTCCAACTGCTTACGTTTTTTCATTATTTCTGCCTTCAAAATATCCATTTTTATAAATAATTATCTTCACATGAATTTTAGACATAAATGTTATACACAAATATATAACTTCATTGGTTTAGTATTATATAAAATAAATTCAAATTCATTTTAATTCAAGTTTTCATTTGTCATTTACGCATTAAAAGTACTTAAATTATAAAATGAATAGTTACATATTCACTGCACTTTATTGCTCTAATATTTAAATCACAGAATAAAATAATTCGTACAATTATTATTTTAATAAAATTTACTTAAATCACGTGTGCATTAGTGTATTGTTATGACAGAAGTACATAGCACAGCCTCACCGACGAGATATAGGTAGATTAGTATGCAATGTAAATTTTTGTCCAGGGCCGAGAGATAATGCAGCCCTCTTACTATTCTCATGTCACTTACAACGTTACCAACAGAGCATAAATAAATATGAATAAATAAGAAAAAGACGTGTCTTTTTTTTATTTTTTTGTCTCAATATCACATTTTTATATATACTCATAATTGCTTATAGTGCACAATTTTAAAGATACGTTTTAAGTCTGTATTCAATATTTTTGATTCTAATTTCTTATAACTTATAGAATTGCCATGTAAAAACAGCCTAAGTCGGTATGACAAGGTGTGACATGAAAATAGGAAGGGGGTCCTAAGTCCCCCGAGAGCGTGTGACAAAATTTAACATTGTTTGCTATGTCTATCCTATACTTCGTCTGTGTTTTTATGCAGATGTCGCGACATGTAAGTATTTAAATCTACGCGCAAACGTTAACATTTTCGTAAGTATTTCGCGGTAAAATGGCGTTGTGGAATAAAGTATTAGCAGGATTTGACAAAGACGAAGAAACAGTGAATTTTGGTACACGAATAGTCGCAGAAAATAATGATTCGTTGTACGAAACCTTTACATTGGCCACGATACAATCTGACGGAGAGGTAAGTTATTGTTTATTGCTTTATTAAGACAAGATTTTGTATACTGATGTTCAAACAGTTAGTACTAATTGATTTGAATTCCATATAAGTCTTTTAATTTAATTTTATTAATAAAACTTGTATGTAAAATTAAGATATTATACATTATCATATGTTTACTCATTCTATGATTCCTGTTGTACAATTGAAATTTAAACGTATATATAATAATTCTTTACTTTCGAAAGGTAGCGAAACAACCAAATGTTTTAGCATCTGTGCAATATTCAAGAGTTTGTGTGGCAATTGATAAATCAATTACTATATTTGAAAATGAAACGTGTGAAGAAATGTTATTGAGTGTCAGTTTTGGATTACTAATAGCATGTTACTGTATTTCTGACAATGGTTTATATCTGTTTGTTGTATTGTCAAATGGAATTTTATATTGTCTTCATTTATTATCTCAAGAAGTAATTTTTACAAAGTAAGTGTAAAACCATATTAAAATATACAAATATTATATGAGCATACAAACACTCATTTCTTCTTAATTATAGAAATGTAACAAAAGATGATGATCCTATAGTAACTATGTTTCTACAACATGAATGTGATCAATATATTAATGTATATCTTGTTGCAAAAAGTGGAACTATTTATAGGTAACTATATGAAATTATAATATAATAGTTGAATACAGCTAATAACAATATTTTAGAGTATCAAATTTCAACTATAAAATTATCGAAGCTGCTATTTCAAATGAAAATGATGATATAACAGTAAAGAAGGTTGCAGAATTAGTTCAATGTGCACAGTTGTTTAAAGGTTTTGTTAATAATGAGGTACTTTGAAATTTATGTTTATTTTTTACACACTGTGGCAAAACATATTGACATAATTATTTTATAGGTAATATATGCTGCTATAGGTGTAATAAATGAAGAAATATCAATAGCTATATTGTGTTCAAATATGTTGTTTTTATGGCCCAGTGAGCATTATATTAATTTTAATGCAAAATCTTCTAGTTATATTAAAGTAAAATTTTTTAAGAATAATATGTAAGTATTTGTATAACTTTTTATCAATATTTTTCAAAATATTATATATGAGTTAAATCTCATGAATTATGGTAGTAATACTATACTAATTAATAATAATAGACCATAAACGTTGATTATAGTGCAATGTTATGTTTATGTATGGATAACACATTGGATATGGTATGTCCTCGAACTTTACTTGGTTTAAAAGTATATCAAAAACCAGTATCAGACTTCGCAATAATTGAAAATATTGATAGTAGTTTATGTCAGATTCTTATTTTAGCAGCAAACGATGGAGAACATAATGTATGTACATTGCGTCTTCTTTCATTTCCAGGTATACATTCATTTATATACTTAAAATATATATTGATATGAGTTACAATTCTATGTTTTCATTAATATTGATTAATTTGTTTTTATAGACTTTGAACAGAAGTTTCAAATAGATGTACCTATCTCTGTATATCTTGTGGAAATCATGGATCCCCGTGATGAAATAATTTTATTTTTAGAAGGGATAAACAATTTTCAGAATAATATTAAGTATATAGATACAATTAGAATAAAGACTGTATCTGAAAGTCTACCGGAATACCAGTTACAACGTTTAATACGAAAAGAGCAGTTTGATAAAGCTGAAATTTTTGCAAAAAAATTCAGTTTGTCCACAGAATCTATTTACTTTGCAAAAGCATCATTATTAATATCTAAGTTTGGACCTTGGACAAAAAATGGTTCCAATCTAATTCAAATAGATGATCTTCTTAGTATATTAGATAAAATAGAAAATGTGCAACATATAGTAGAATGTTGTAGTAAGGCTCTTATACCACAATATAAAGAAATGAAAAAAATTTATTTATACGCGCGGACAAAGATAACAGAAAATACTGCAGTAAATGATTTTTATATAGTGATATGTATATAAATTAGTATTAGTATACTTCATATTAATCATTTCTATATTACTAATTTTAGAAAATGGTATCCGAAGATCATCTGAATCTTCTGTTTTCAATTAATAGTATACTGCATAAATTAGAAACATTTCATTTGATTTGGGGATTTAAACAAGATTTTGATTGCTATGATGATGATACTATGAAAGAATGGATAAGATTTTCACGAGCGAATTTGATGAAAGAATATATGACATATTTAAGTCTAGTAAGATCATTACATAGTTATATTATTCTCAGAGTAATATAATTTATTAAAATTATTTTTCTATAGGGAGAAATGGAAGCTGCTACACTGATTTGGTCCAGACATCTCCCAGACATAATGGAACATATATCTGTGAATTTTGTAAAAGATATATTTTCAACCCTTGATGAAAAATTATCTCCATCTGTGCTTTGGCCATGGTTATCACATTTTATACCTACTTTACTATCTTTTATTCCTGATGCCATATGTGAAATTATTTCCTGGGGATGCAAGAAAGTTAAATTATGTGAACAATTACATCATAATTTATGGCCTCAAATTGGAATTGATTTTAGTAATAAATTTATAAAATTACTCAGACTCGAAGAGAATCATCATTCTTTAGTTATTCACCATGAATACTTAAGTAATGATTCAAATTTGAAACAATTTGTTTCTTTAATACAAGCCATGTCTGATATACAAAAATTGAAAGTTACATATAGGTAATATATTGTTTCTCAATCATTTGTATAAGTACATCCATATATACATAGTATATTGATTAAAATTTGTAGATTAACAATATCTCTTGATGCTTACATGGGAGACCCTATTGAAGTATCATATATATTACTGGATAAGATACATATTGACATTATTCCAGATTTTATAAATCATTTTTTAAAACAATATATGCTGAATAATTCTTTGCAAAATGACTATACTCTCTCTTCGTATATACAGGTTCGCATTATTTATTACTGTAATAAAAATACTGAATTTCGATTATAATGATATTTTTGTAGAAAATAATGAGAAATTCTAAAAGTTGGTGGTCAGGCGAAGAAGCTCCATGGGAAAGACGTGTTGTTGTGATAATTGGTTTAATTCAAGATATAGAAGTATACTTATAAAAGATAAATAATAAAATAGATGTTAAATTCTTTACTTTCGATTTATGTATTATTTAATTCTAATTCAATTAATTTATATTCTAGACTAGATTGCAACAAACACTAGAAATATTAAAAAATGCTTCAGTACCATGGAGTTCAATTATGGTGAATTTGGCAGAAATAAGTAGTAATTTGGACCACACTTTAGCATCTCAAATTAGAATAGAAGTTAGCTACGTTTCAATAAAGCTTATATTAAAGAAGTATAAATACGAGCATGTTGGTATAAATGATGTTAGTAAGCACTAAAAATATATGTAACTTAATAATTTATATTGAGGTAGTTAAAATTAAATTTAATGTATTTATTCTCTTTTTTAAAGAAATTAATTTATCGTATAATAAAAGAAAATCATGAGGACATGATTTCGGATATTCAACAAATAACTAAAAATGATCCATTATTACAAAAGAAGGCATTGTCATCTTGTACAAATTACTATTTGTCTAGAGGGTAAACAAATTGAATTAAAAGTATAAATTCGAAAGAATTTATCTGAATAAATCTTATCTGAATTTCATAGAAATTATTTTGTAGGAATGTTACAAAGGTAATGGAATTATTAAACTCTATGGAGGCTAATATTTTATTACATTGCTGCATTCAAATTGTAAATCATGTTTCAGCTAGTTTAACTTTGAAGGTAACTTGTAACATTTTATTATCTTAACAGATTGATTAAAGATTAAATACCATTTACTCATATTTATTTTGTATTTAGAATATGCCTAAATCTATTGAACATTACGTTGAAATGTTGGGTTGGGTGAAATTACAATTCCAGGGAATGTCAAAAAAATATAAAGTTCAATCTCACTACTATGATAGCATTATTGTTAGTATAGCCGAAATAAAATCAATGTATGTATTAAAAAAGGAATTTCAAATTAACATTTCAATAAAAGAATATGCAACAGAAAAAAAGAAAATATTGAAGAACTATATTGAAAAATTATGCAATGGTAAGAGAAATTATTTTATTATAAAACTATCAATTGGTTGCTAACGTTTTTAATTCCTGGTGTCAATATTTCAGAGAATATACAAAAGAATGATAATTTTATTATTGTGTATACAAAAATTATAAAAGTAGCAGACCTACTTGAAATGCAAAAAATTGATGCTGTATGTATGTTATTAGAGTGGACAAAAAATATAGATATATTTAAATATTTTGCCAGGTAAATAAGTACATATTTGAGCATAAAGAAATTAAAAGAATATATAATGACTTTTTTATTATGCACAACTGCTTAGATGTAAAGAAGAACGAATAAGTATAACATTAAATGAATGTCCATACATGTTCAAAATGTGTTTAATGATGTTACAACATATTAAAATGGATGAAGATATTGTCATCACTATACAAAATTTAATTTCTTCTACATTATGTGTTTGTGCAGATGGTATGCATACAATATTATTCTAGTTAACTTCAAAATTATAAACATAAAATTTTGTGAAGTAAAATATCTTGAAATTAGTCTATAGGTATTATTTTTATTAATTGCTAAATTCTGTTTTAGATCAATTGCAGTCTATGTTGTTATTATTTGTTGGAATAAATTTGTATCAGGAGTGCTTTAATAAAAGTAACAAACATGGTTCAAGTGTGTTTGATACAAAACAAGAAGAAATGTCAAAAATGGATTGGAAGTTATACACAATATATAAAGATCTAGCTATTGCTGCAGACGAATTAATTCTATCATTATTTAGAGATATGATCTCCATGCAACAACTTTATTTAAACTCCTGTAATATAGATGCTGAATATTTAAAAATAGATGACAATCAAGAGTCGTTAAAGAATTTACTTGATAAAATGAGGAAATTAAAAGTGGAGCATAATGAATATTGCCTGCTACAGATTATGAAGACTTTATATTTCAATTTTTATATTCTAATAGACGTAAATTCTGATTTACTAACAGAAATTAAAACAGTATATTATCAATTTTTAATAATATTGTTAAAAAAGGTAATAAGTTCGCGAACATTTGATCCCTATCTTGGGTTATCCTGCTTATTTATGTTACCCGAATTAGAGACGTGCAAATGGATCTCTTCTACTTGCAAAATGTATGTATATCACTTAATGTAAATCTAAAAACTAAGAATACTATAAAAATATGTTTTCTTAGATATCAGTTAGATTGTACTCGACACTTCAGAATATCAATACTTGGGTATGAATATTTCCGTTTGTGTAAAAATCCATCAATCTTAAAAACTTATAAGGATAATAAAATATTGCACTCTTGGGCACAGAAATTATTGAAATATTCTATTTCATACAAAGGTTGGAACCACTTCTTTTTATAAAAGTCAATTTGTTGCTGTTTTGAAATTTGACAAGATACGTGTTATGAAATATATTTGCAGAAATTTTAACAAGTGATGCAATAGGAAAAAGGGACATATTGCAACGCATTATGAATTATAATGGCGATAATATGATTACTTTACTTCAAGATTTTTGTACTGACTTTGGTTTTAATATACAAGACTGCTTATTGATATATTTGCAAACAATAGTAAAATCATGGAATCCAAAATTAAATATATCCAACCTTAATGGAAAGAAAGGTAAAACATAATATGATTATTATTCTTTTTTCTTATTTGATTTTAATGTTAATTGTAATTATACTTTTAGAATTACATATCGACGAGGATGAAATATATGAACTAAAAAGAAAGTGTAATATGGTGGCTGCTAAAATTTTAGATAAAGTTGCCTTAAAAAATTATATCATTACTATGTTATCACAAGTAAAAAGATTATCTAATTTATTGAAATGTTATGAAGTATGATATCTTCTAAATATGTATATATATTATTTTAGGTCAATTTTTATCATTATGAAATATTTATAATCCTTATGGATCTTATAGAAGACAAAAATATTGAACATAGAAATTACTTTTGTTTCCTACAAAATTATACTCGAAATAGGTAAGGGTAATAAACAAGTTTCGTATGTAATAATCCATTACATTGTATGGATTGTACATGTAATTCTATTTTTCCAATTATTATCAGTCAACCGACGCAAATAGAACGCGATGAATGGATGCATCTTAATCCAAGATATACATCTCTACCACCTATATCTGTATGGCGATTACCTTTTTTGCCTAAAATTGAATTATGGACTTTTATAAGTAAAACATTTTTTAATTTTACATTCTTTATACAGATTATAGATCATTTATCATGTATATTGTATGTTATACATATTTCATTAGTTTGTCTATTTTAGCTCCAGAATTGAATTTAAAAAGTTACAAAAAGTGGTTGGATATAGCGCCTATTCTTAAATTACAACCCCATATCATATGTACACTAGCCATTAAAGGAGAAATAACACGTACATGGGGAAATAAACACAAAACAAACAAATGGAGTCTCTGTCCGAAAAACAGTAGTTTATTAAACGATATAAAAAAATGTATAGAACAGATGACTGGACCGAATGCATTATATTATAGCACAGCAGCGTTATATTATGTTGTCAATCATACACCTCCAGGTATTTTGAGATTTTATGACTATAAATTACTTTCTACATTTTTCAAATAAAAAAATTCTCTTATTTACTAGGTGCTGATCAAGTAGCAGCTGTCGAAGAATGTTATAAATATGCTCTACTATCTGTTCAGAAATCTACTAAGTTTGAAGAAGGAATGCTTGAGGTATGTTCCCTTCTTTCAATTCACATAATATTTAAACGCATTAACTTATTTTTCACGATTCTTTTTAGAAAATAAAATTCAAGTATTTACACTTTACATCAGAACATATCTTACGTACACATGGTTTAGGAACCTCAAATTATTTATCATTGATTGGAAATCCATACAAGTTAGTTCGTGAATTGTATACAGACGAAAGCATACCACAAAGATATCGATACATTACAGATCATAGACCAGATATAAATTCTGCAGTTAAAGCGATCAGTGAACTATGTTCAATTAATATAGTTAAATTGCGAATGGAATTGTTGCAAGAATGGTTACAGCCAGATATTAAGTATATGAAATTTAATCAAAGTATAACGGACACGTTTTCAATGGTAACAAATTCTGAACCAAATTCGAATTCTGATGATAATTTATTAAGGTATAGAGTTGTAGTCGAAAAATTAATTTTTATACTCTTCGAAATCTTTCAATACACATAATGTATTTCCAGACTGTGTTATATTCTGGAGTATGGAGATCTTGAATTGTCAGCAAATTTTCTAATAAATATAGGTTTCTGCGAAAATAATGAAGATCACAGTCCTGAAGTTCGTTACAGAGCTCTATGTGTATTGCAAACCATACTTGATGCTTCTAAATTAGAAGATTTAACTAAACGCGATATTCAAACAATTAGGTGCGTATATATGTATATACATTTGTTTTTAATTATACGATGTTTGTAACTCAATTGTTCTATTATTTAATATGCTGGAACATTTGGTATTCAGAGAATATATGAAGTCTCTAAAGTATATAGGTAGACTAGAATCATTAGGAGTTGGATACAATGTACATACATTTGAAACAAGTTCCAAGCATGAATTAGTACAAATATTATGGAAGACACAAAATTATTCGCAACAAGCACTTATTCTTATTGCCCAAATATGTATAGACTTTGAAGTATACGAATATACCTTATGGGATAAAAATTTAACGCAATTAGCTAAATTTTTAATGGTAAGAGTTTATATGTATAAAATCACATATGCATAACTTACAACTGTAAAATTTATTATATTTTATTATTATTACTATTATTACTATTATTACTATTATTACTATTATCCTTTTTTAGATTAATGAACTAAAAAAGATTTTATTACAAGTGCGAAACATAAGTGTGATTGTAAATTGTAATGGCTACTTGTTAGGATGGCAAGTAGTAATTTCAGAACCATTCAGAAAAATGGATTTAAATCCAAGTCCAGAGCAAATAGACAATTGCGTTGAAGCGTTAAAACTGCTGCATTCATGTCCAGTTGTACATACGTTATATTTCAGTGATATTATAAAATACTGTTTTCAGTGCCAACAATCCCACTTAGCTGCTGCAATTTTACCCTTTTTAAACGATGATGATAAAAAATATGTTTTAGAGGTAAGTAGTTTAGCTTTTAATAAACTATGATTGATTGAAGTATATAAAATATTCAACAAGATTTAAACAAAATTGCTTATAGAAAATCAAGAATACATCGAATCTTACAAATGTCTTAAAGAATTTAAATGACTTGTTGTCAAATGGCATACTTTGTGTGAGTTATGTAAGTATATTGATTCGTTATTAGTTTATTATTTACAACATTTATTCTGTATATTTAATTACTATTATCTTTTCAGTGCAATAAAATTATAGAAAATGCCTTATCAAAAAACTGAAATTTATTAAGATATGAATAAAGTAATTATTTTCTTATTCTTAGTATTATGTACTTTTAAAATATTGTTTAATAAATTTATACAATGAACTACATTTACATTTATCTAAAACTGTTAAAAGTAATTATATTTGCAGGTTTAATGAACTGCTAAGTTATATTGAAAATATTTAAATTTTTACATTACCCAATATTTCTTGAAAATAGTAATCATGATATAGCATTCTTTAAATCATAATCCTCAATTAGTAAGGATTTATTTCTAAGTAATTTTATTTTGGTGCTTCCTTCACTTACATTAACCATTAATATAGTACAACGATGTACTGTTAAGAATGTATTTCTTCTGTCAATTATGAGATCAATTTCATCTTCAACCCTAACCTGAATATTAAAAAAATAATTTAATTTGCCTGCTTAATTATGTTATGCCTTTCAATGAATCTTAATGTTATTAAAGTTGGTGATCATATAAGCATTATAAAGTCAAATAATAAACACAAATTTCACACTATCATATAATCCTTTTCTAATATAAAAATGTAAAACAACTTAATCTTTGATAATGTCTTATCTAACTTTATTAACATCTTAATTCATTGAATGGCACTGCATAGCATTTACATTTTTTTCTTATGATTCAAAAATTACCCTTACCATTACACTTTTCTTTAAACATTTCTTTCCATTGATGCGTATCTTATTGTCATAATATGCTTGATCTATCTTGCTACAAGAAAATATGTTGTAAAGTTACACATAGAAATTTAAAATAGTGCTACAATGTCAATAAATTTATGTATATTAAAACGTATGTATCATGTATGTAAATTCAAATTAGTTTAATATCATACAAATAACAAAATTGTATATTTTACACTAACACTTTAATAATTGTTTAAAAATTGTTTAAGTAATAATAATAATAATACTAATAACGTACGCACGTGACATTCCAAATCCTTCTTTAGCAACAATATCTAACCGAGGAGAAGGTACATTAATATCAATTACTTTTGACTGCGCAGTTTTTAAATAATCATCTACATCTGTGAAGTCCTTTTCGTCTTCACTTTCTTCGTCTTCACTGTCATCATCTTTCTAAATACATATATATTCATGCCAAAAGGTAAATGCAATTCCTTTTTCAAAAATAATATTAAAAATTAATAATATACTAACATGGTTCTTCGTTTTTTTGCTTTTCCATCTTTTCTGTGTAATAAAATTAGGAGTTTGCTGTAAATATGAGTAATTTGGACATAAATTATATTGTTTATAATTAAATATCGGTGCTATTGCGTATGTATGAAATAATCGTTTATTTTTTAATATCATATGTCGTACAAAATTAGAGAGTGTTTTGGACAACATCGTGCACCGTATATAAATGATTATAAACTAAGAGACGAAACTTCGACATTTTCCGAAAACTATAATTTCCAATGCGCATGCGTATAGAAATGAAAATACTATACAATACTATGCTATCATACATAAATATACATATGTAAAATAATGAAAAAATTACACAAAATGATTCATGCTATTTTAATTTATTGTAGCTTATTTGTAAATAAATAAATAAGTACTTGAACTAAGCTCGTAGAATTTGTTTCACATGAAAGCTGATTGATGGCGCACAATTGCCGAAAGCTAGCATCGTGTAACTAGTTCTTTTTTTCTCACTTCTACTTGTTGGCGCAATAACAGAGATAGAAAATGGTGGTGGGAACAACACAAGTTGCCAGCGTATAAAAAAGCAAGTTACAGGCGAGACAGTACTTGTACAGCTAACATCGGAGTGCTTGTTCAGATATTTAAAACGAAAACTGTATCTCTGGAACACTATCACCAGCGGAAGTTCACAATATCAAATTTCCTTAAAGTTGAAATTAAAAAAAACCTGGTTCATTTTGCTAAATTCATTAAAAAAAAGACTATAAGTTCAAATTCTTCCGATTTGTTTTAAATTTTGTATACAAGTAAGTGTTGTGTATTATTTTTCTGTTGAAAATTTAATATAAAGTAGTTAACTTCTCTAAATTTAGGACAGACGCACGATTCATATAAATACACATTCAGTTATTTGACTGTGTTTATAAAACAAACTTCCGTTTTTATTTTAAAAATGGGCATTAACCCGATGAAGTGGAAAACGAGAAACATATTATATTCTACCTTAGCGCTATTCATTTTTTACATATTTTGTATATATAAGAAAAAGCATCAAGTAATTTTTGAAGGTATCGTTCAAAATTCGAATCCCATACACGTTTGGGAGTACGTAGCCGATTTCAGTAATATGAAGAAATTAAATCCAACAATGTGCGTGAACACAATAATCACGAATAATTTTTAATCATTTAATCGTTATTTTAATCATTTACCGAAATCATTGTTTTTAACTATAGAGAAGAGTTTAATGTGATCGCAGATAGTGGTAATTATGATCACTGGAAATATTCGGTTGAATATACAGAACATTTAAGTCATATACCAATTATTCGAAATGTTGCACAAGGACATTATACTATACGGCGAGATAATGATGGTTATTTGATCACTTCAAAACATCATACATGTTTTTTCTCTAAATTCGGATGCTGTAAGTCCTTGAGATTTAGATATGATACCGACGAATCGATTAGACTTTTAAATCGATTAAATTTGAAATTTTGATTCATGTTCTAGTGGAATCAATTTCACAATTCAGATTCGATCGAGACGGTGTTAACGACACGAAGTGCATTGAAACGGTGCAATATGAATGTCCGATCATATTTTCGGAATTGTGTTATAGAGAAGTGATGTATCAACGAGAAGAAATTCTTAATAGATTACAATTAGAATTTTCAACTAGAATTAAGAACGAAATAAATGTCTAAATATTTTTCTATGTACTTTTTAATGTTAAGCCGTACATCATTTTGACATAATTATTGTAACAAATATATAATTTTGATAAATACTCGTACTAAATATTATTATTTTAATTACGATTTATATACAGGATATTTATAGTAACAGAAACAGATTTAAATCGAACTCTATATTTTTTGCAATTGATTTCTCGCATCATTTTAGGTACAAAAGAAATAGGAAATGATTATTAAAAATTCAATACTTTTCAAGATATTTTATTTTCCTTAAAAATTCACGGTAAATATTCAAATTTTATTTTTATACATAAAATAACACGAAGAATGTATTTATGCAAATAAAATTATAGAGTGCAGTTTAATAAAAAAGTGTAATTGCCTTGGTCCATTTTCGAAAAAAGTAATACCGTAATATGATAAATTTTTCTATGGTCTTCCTCTATTTTCGCTTAAAACAAAGTTATGGTTTATCCCAATTACTAGAAACATTTTGTATAACATTTTTCACAATATATTATTAATATGTAATATACTTATAATGCAATACCTACTTGTATTACTGTTATTTTTAAGATTATTATTGTGTAATTAACAAACAACTATAAAATTGTCGATTTAAAAAAATTTTATCTGTGTTTTTTTATCATACATATAAATACTTACAAATATTATGTTAAGTAACAATAATTTTGAATACCCTATATAATTAGTTCTTATTGGTATGACCAACATCTGGATGTAAAATCTCTGATGACAAAGTGACAAAAAAGAAAGTGGTGGGGAGATCAACAATTTATCGAAAACATTCATATGAGAGAACGTGAGAATAGGGAACAGAGAACGAGAAGCGTTTATATTTTTATTTGTATTTATTGAAATATATACCGTTTATAGTATTTACTTAATATTCTATATACAATTGTATCACAGCCCAAAACATGTCCAATAAATTCGAGGCGTAAGTGCAACTAGCCTTCTCCTTATTTCGTCGTGCCTTTTTCTGAGGGCTAGATAGAGGTTAGATGTGTTTTGAATGGAAAATGAATTTTATCAACATAATTTTTATATATTACATTTTACATTTATTTACACAAGCAAATTAACACATTAGTCAATGACGTTTATAAAATACTTTGCAGAAAATTCAGTAGTACGAAACATGTGATATGGCTTGACATTTGTCAGACACTAAGTATTTCTCTGTTTGTATTACAGTTTTCATTGTTACTTTTTTCCTTTTTTTTATGTTTTAAAATGATTGACTGCCATGGGACTACTACATTTTTCATTATTATTGAAAATTCAATTATTGAAAAACAATCGTGCGAAGCTGTTACCTATAAATATGAAATAAATAAATTAATCTGTAAATAAAATATTACAAATAAATTAATTTGTTTGTCAAGAGAAATTATATTCAAAATTATTCTAAGAAGTCCATGCTAATTTTTATAGTTTCTGTTAAAGGTTGTTGTGTAAATGACAGTAGTACTTGCAGGTTAAAAGCTAATGAAGAAAGTGGGGATGATGAAACACAGTCAAAAGATAATCAAAAATCTGAGAAAGATACACTAGTGAGTAAAAATTGTCTCTTTGTTTATTAATATAGCTTTAGACGTTAATAAAATATCTATTAAATAGAATATACTTATTGTAGCCTCATATAGAAATTAATCCAAATGAGCACAAATTACAGTATGCATACGCATTATGGTATAGTCGACGCAGTCCTGGTAAACAACCAAGTATACAAAGTTATGACCAAAACTTAAAATTGGTTGGTAGGTTTGCGAGTGTGGAACAATTTTGGAGTTTGTATAGTCATTTAGTTCGACCATCGGAATTGGCTGCACATACAGATTTTCATCTTTTCAAAGTTGGGATAAAACCAATGTGGGAAGTATGTATTTTTTAATATCTTATTTTATTTTCTAACATGTTTATAATTAATGAATATATATATATATTTTTTTTTTCATTCTATTGTATTCTTTGTTTCAGGATGAAGCAAATCAGAAAGGTGGTAAATGGGTAGTAAGATTAAGAAAGGGTTTAGTGTCTAGATGTTGGGAAAATTTGATATTAGCTATATTAGGAGAACAATTTATGGTTGGAGAAGAAATTTGTGGAGCTGTGGTATCTATAAGATTTCAAGTAAATTAAATTGTATTATATCGAAGAAATAATTACTGTGTGTTATTGAAAATAATTGATTATTCTTAATAATTCCTTCTAGGAGGACATAATATGTGTATGGAATAAGACTGCATCTGATTATGCAACTACTGCACGTATTAGAGACACATTAAGGAGAGTATTACATCTTCCAGCCAGTGCCTCTATGGAGTACAAAACACACAATGAAAGTTTAAAAAATGTTCATCGGTTCTAATACTGTCTGATACTGACTCAGTTCTTTGAACTTTTCATGATGGATTTTGAGGTAATTTAATCAAGTAACTGTTATCAAATATATTTAATACATGACAGTGTAATACTATTTGTATATTTTTCTATTTAGCCAATTGATACTTGTGAGAAGATTTTTCTTAGGAGAAAAATATTTTATGACTAAAAAATTTGAATGGACATCTTATTCGGAAATACATTTTATTCACAAATGTTCCATTGTAACTTATGTAAATAATAAATACATGTTGATAATAAAAAGTTCTTATTTCTAAAATAAAATAAAATAAAATGAAATAAAAATATATATAACTTTTATGTCTATTCATAAGAAATTTTGTATCCACTGTTATAAGTGGAATTTCATTACAAAAATTGAAAAATTATTTTGTATTTGAAACATTTTTATTCAAGGGTACTTACATCTCAAAACTCATTTTACACAATAAATTTATACATTTGTACATGAGATCATATTTTGATAGAATGCATAAGTACATCTCAATCATATGTTCTATATATAATTCTATATAAAAATCATTTCAATGGAAACGAAATATTAATTTTTATATAAATATTCTATTTTTTTTATAGAAAAAGACAATAACACCATCAGAATTTCTTATGTACAGATTTTCTTTACATAGGACACACATAGGGTAATAAAGCACAAACGCGGATAAGAATTTATAATGTCAAAAGCTTTAAAAGAATAAAAGATCAGCATTATTCATAATATAATGTGATGGCTGAGCGTTTGTAGACTAGAGTTAGGTATATTCAGTATCAAAAGAGAGACAATACCAAAAAACCTTATATTAATTGTGCTTTTCATCCCATGCTTAAAATCATTGTATAAAGTTTTTCTCGAATATGTAAATCCCAGAATTATAACCTTAAAATAATTATTGTAACCATACCTGTAATAGGGAAAAAGATTGTATTTATAATCTTTAACTAAAAGAACATATCAATAAACTCACCTAGTACAAATGAAAATATTAATTTAAAGTTTATCGAGAGATGAAGATAATCAGGCACTCTATTGTTCTGTTCTCCTTCTGTAGGTAGTAATAATCCAACTATACAGATGATTCCAGCAATCAGTGCAACATAATTTGTTCCTCCTAAAAATTAAAACATGACTGTATATATATACGTAGAATCAGAAATATGTTAAGTGTTTAAAATTATATATCTATTTTAATTTATGTCCATATGATACATAGTTTTATTCTGTCTGTGTCATTCTTAATGCAAATCAGAAAAATAAAAGCAATTATAATATGTTGTACATGATAAAAAAATGCATGTGTTTATTCTACTCTAAATTTTAATAACCTACGCAATAAATACTTTTCTATTAAAACTGAATGATATTGTAAATACAAAATAGTAAATATATGTAGATATAAACTCAAAAATTAACTCCAAAAACTGAAATAGTAACCTTTATCTATAAGAATATAATTTTAATTTTTCATATTTATTTATTTCATAAAGATATAAATGCTTTTCTATGTTTATCTTGAATGTATCTTCTGTAATGGCAAATAATAATATTACTAATCAAATAATAAGTTTAAACTTATTCATTCATTGTTAAATATGCATTAATGTGACATAAGTAATGTGGTCTTTTTATATATGAAAAATATATGCTTACTATCAATTGCTTTATTTTGAGCTATAAGCGCATAAGACTGCTGCTGCCTGTTTTCATTTATAGGAAGCTGTTGAAACATTTCTGGATCAGGGGTAGATCTACCAGCAGTATCCATTGTACTAGGAAGTAGTTTAGCTTCAACATCTCGTTTTCCTATAGCCTATTAATTTTTCCAGAGTCTTAAATTATATTAATTTCATAATACAATTATAATTTCATTTCTGATATATTATTACTAAATTAGTTAATTACTTGTTTAGTTGGATGTTCTTGCATTTGTATTCTAAATTTGTCGATAACATTGCAATTGTTTAATAAAAGTGATATATGTCTGACAACAATATCGACGCAACATCTTGCTTTGATTGTACCTTCTGGATCAACAACTTTATATTTATTTGGTGCAGTGCACAATACTGTAATAATAATAATAATTTCTATAAGAATAATTATTCGAGTGATTTTTATTAATTGTTAGTTTTTTATAAGCATAAAATATTTACCTTTGAATTTTACAGGAAAGTCATATGGATTATACAAAGTCAAAACTTGTTTGTGAGTAGATTGATCGTCTAAAAAGAAAGTGATACTTTGGGGAAACACAAAGACTGGTAATTTTCGAGGAGTTGCTGCTAATTGGGACTGCATTATATTTTTTCGATGTTTTGTGGTCCATGCACCTACAAAATTTTAAGATTTATTGTTACATATAACATTATTTGTATTTATTTCTATCTTATTACTGCTTCATTTGTATATATCTACTATATCTTTCTTAATTTAAATATATTTCCATAGAAGTCATTTCATTTAGTAATATCCATATTTGTTTCACAAGAAAAAATCTTTCTTTAAATACGTTTTTAATGTAAAATATATAATTTATAAATAATAATACACGTAATGTAACAGCTCACCTTAAAAATTAAGTACTTTGAAAATGGTATAAATAGAGACGAAAATTGTACAACACTAGAAATCAAACTCAAAATCAAAGACTTGAAATGAATAAAAATACTAATAAACATACGACACAGTTTCCTCAAATAAGGTTTCAAATTTTTATAACCACTTTAACTTTACAACTCACACACAAAAATGTCTAATCACGTCTATACTGATAAATAACTTCGTTGCCTCAATCAAACTCAATAAATGTTTAATTATGTGGTAGCTTTTTCTGAATTTTGTATTTACAAGTTTGTTCGAGCTGTGGGCACATTTAATTCAATATACTACACTGTTGATTCTTCTAGTCAGTAATTCTTTTGTGGTATTTGATATGTATCACCTCAAATTTACTAACATTTACCATTGAACATGCGAACAAACTTATAAACATGTATGCTGACATTTCTATATCTCCTTAATATATCGTTAGAAATTAACATTTTATATTCATTTTTTCGTCACATTTAAGTGGCAGTGAAGACCACTTTATTATTCGCACAATACTGAATATATGTACCAATGAAATATACCTTATGTACTGTATACAATGAAATAGCGATAAGGAATTTGAAGCATTTAAAATTGTATGTACTTTGATACTCTTAAACGATTTTATTATGAAATATTGTAACCTGTTTTACATTATACTTTTTCTACTGTTTATCACAATAAGAAATATATACTTTAATTTTTTTACGAAAGTAATAGCTTGTTCATATAGTAGAAAATTACGTTTATATTTTTTGTTGGCAATTATACATTTATACATACAGTTATCTATAAACTGATTGTCATGATATTTAACTTATTTCTTATAATGT